GTCGTCTTTCAAATTCTGTTGTCGCGTTTCGGAATCTGTTGTCGTGTTTCGAACTGGTTTGTCGTGTTTCGATTCGACCCAAAAGTAGAACTTTGGGCCCCTAAATTTGACTGCAAAACATAATGGGAGAAGACTAGAGAAAAGTGCTTCCCCCCGTTTAAATTGGACGACAGACAGACGAGTTGCTGAGGGTCCAGATAGAGGCGAGGACTCTAATGTCGTGGAACATCGCTTCTTCAAGGCCACAACCGTTGTATTTTATTCACGCTTTGCCGACGATACTACCTGTTTCAGCGGCTTTTAAAACATTTATACGATTAACACTTAGATGCTTCTGTTCGGACTTAGAGGATTTAAAGGAGAGAACAAACGCATTTTTATAACATTTATACGATTAACACATAGATGCCTTCCACGCACCTTTTTCGCAGTGATTTCTACGTACTTGTTTTCAGTGGAGTAGATAAAGAATCACAGACAAAAGGTGCTCCAAGTTTCTAGTTCGGATTGGACATAGTACGAAGAACGGTAGAACCCTACGGAATCGTACATTTAAGTAGTTTCATTTTCATCATCATCTTGGGCACATAAATCTGAAAGAACCTCATTCAGCAGAACCAAATACAACACCGAATGCCACAAACACTGATAATGAACAACTCCTTCCTGCATCATCAAACAACAGGTCCCCAATCTCAAATGAATTCAGGAAACACTCAATTCGACCAGTCTAACACTCCAGTTGCTGCGTTTCTGCGCAACAATGCCCCTACCCAAGGCATGGGCGTCGACATGAGCGGACAATTTGGGAACTCGAACATTATGATGAACAGCCAGCCACAAGTGAACCAACTGAATAATTTCAATCTTGCTGAGCTCAAGAGATTGCAGCAACTGCAACAGCAGTTGCAAGCAACAAACCAAGCTCCTAATCCAATGATGCAATCTTCTGCGAACCCATCAGCTCTACTGTTCCAAAACTACTTGGATCAGAAGATTCAGTCTACCAGATTCAACGATTCCTTGAATCCGCTTGCTGGAGTGGGAGGTTTCTCTGGAATGGGATCGCAAAACCCCCTCATCAACTCTAATCTGTTCCAAGAACAGCTGATGATCAATCAGAATGTCATGAATGGGATGAAATCGCCATCTGGAGAAATGGCTCTCCCTTCCCCGCACTCTATTTTCCACCGCGATGGAAGTCGTAGAATGCGTGGTGGTGTGATTGAGCCCTTCCCTGAGAAACTTCATCGTCTTCTACTTGAAGTTGAGGCTGCAGGACGATCTGACATTATTTCCTTTGTTGCTAATGGAAGAGCTTTTGCCATCCATATGCCTGATAAATTCTTCAAGGACATTGTCCCTCTGTACTTCCGCCAGAGTCGATTGAGTTCCTTCAAGAGACAACTTAACCTTTACGGATTTGAGTTGATCAATACCGGTCCCGCACGAGGTGGATACTTCCACGAACTCTTTGTCAAGGACCGCCCCGATTTTTGCCGCAAGATGAGACGGGTTGCAGTCAAGGTTGGAGCTAAGAGTTCCAAACTATCTCCCACAAAAGAGAGTCAGGGGGAAGATGCTATTGAAAAGGCAGACAAAATTCTGAAGCAACTTGACGATGAACAATCGTCTAGAAATGATAAGCAAGATTCTATGGAGAAGCCCTTGATAGAATCGGGATCACTACACGCGGAACCTGCCGCTGTTGATATTAGCCCAGCAACAGGAGCTGTCGAATAGGGATATTAAATTTAGCAAAGTATGTATTATATATAAAAGAAAAAAGTCCGTCATCCGTTCCCAAAGGAAATTTTTTCTCTCGGCCTCATCGTGTTTGCCATTTCTCCTTCGTTGTTACTTCTACATCTATCCAGAGCCCTCCTGGTACATTGCTGGTACACGTGTACCTGGTACAGGCAGCCCATGCCAGCTACAATAATTTTTCAAATTCTTCGCGTCGTTACGCAGCTGACTTGCACTTTGGATAGGAAGTTTGCTCTCGTTTGAACGGAACAGTTCGGTTTTTGTTCGTTCGCTCTCATCGCCTCTTCCCAAAGTGCACGAGAAGACTGTTCACAAAGAATGCATGGTTTTCTAGCGGTACCGAGTTTCTGTGCTCAAAAATGATCGCTTGTGACTTGCTGTGACCGAATTTGGGAATGCATCTGTTCCTGGGCACGGGTGGTCTTGGAGCGATGGCGGGTTGAAAAATGGTGACGGGTTGAAGAATGAATGGTGATGAGGTTGATAGAATAGGGGCGGAATCTACGATATCGTTCCGTTTTGGGGGATCAAAACCACCAAATACGGATCGTCCGTCAACTGTCACATCCTCTTCGTCGAAAGTCAATCCACCGCAAACATTTGTTTGTTGTTGTTCATCCTGGAGGCTGTCCAAGTGATACTCCCATTAGCCTCAAGAGATAGACTAAACAAAGATTCGGACATAGTCATGGCGACCGACCCACGCAAACGAAATGGTGGTGCAGCTTCCAATATCCTGTTGGGAGGTGAAGATGCAATGGACGAAGATGAAATCCTTGATGCCAATGTACAAGCCACTCCCATCGTAGAAGGGAGTGTAGAGCTCATTTCTACAATCATCACACCGTCTCCTTTTGCGCATCACGTAACGGGACCTACATCGAGTCGTTTCCGCAATGCCATGCAACGCATATCAGAAAATCCTACATCCGATACGGAAGCTTGGGAAGCTCTGATTACAGAAGTGCTGAACTGTTATCGGATTGTCCAACCAAAGATTCATAATGTGGATGCTGAAGTTCAATTACAATTAGATTGGATGGAATCCTGTTTCGGTGCACTCCTGAAATACTTTCCTTACTCAAGTAACCAATACGTGGCTGTTGCTCAGATGCTCTTTGCTCAATCCGCTCGGATAGGAGAAGAGGAAGGGGCAGCTTATGGAAGCATAGACCGAGCTCGATCGGAGCGCTGCCAACGTAAATTGGAAAACATTTTTTCGAAGACTCTCGGAATCAACATGGATGGGTCCCCATCGGATCCTGACGATCCCATTGGTGGAATGTGCACCTCCAACATCGAGCTATGGCTTTTGTATGTTCGGACGAGAAGTCGTCAAGCACGTAGGGAACATCCCGGTAACCCAGAAATTGCAAGGGAGTGGACAAGTAATGCCTATGAAATCGCAATTGAAGCAGCGGGGTTCTGTGTCAACAACCATGTTGTTTGGAAGGCTTATTTAGCGTATGCAAAAGCGCAAATGGACAATCCCAAGCAAATGTTGCACTTGAGAAGTATCTATCAACGACTAGTTTGTAACCCAATGACAGGATTGGACCAATTGTGGCAGGAATATGAAGCGTTTGAGAGACAGCAAAGTGAGGCTCTTGCTGCTGCGTTGGTCTCCGAATTTACACCAAAGTACCAACATGCAAGAAGCGTTTACCTCGAACGAAATCGTGTTTTCAACATTCAAGACCTCCAAATCAATGCAAAGCTAGCGTCTCCACCACCATCAAATGAGGAGGACGAAGATTATACTTCGAAGTTGCAAGAAGACTATCAATATCTAAACCTTTGGAAGACTCGATCCGCTTATGAACGAACCAATCCTGAACGCTTGACGCAAACTGACCTTGCGAAGAGAACTCGTCAGGGCTACAAGGAGATGGCGTGTGCTTTGACCCATCATCCTGAAGTTTGGCATATGTGGTGTATGTGGGAAGAAACGGCTGATGCTAGCGGGACAAAGGCAATTGCTGTCCTGGAAACGGGACGACAGCACATTCCGGACTGTACACTCCTTGCCCACGCGCAAGCGCAGCTGACGGAACTGCACAATCCACAACCACAAGAATGTCTAAAGGTGATGGAATCCTTCTTGGAAGTCGCTCCTAGCACTTTGGGCTTTTCGTTGTATCAGCAAATGGTGCGAAGATACAAAGGTGTCAAGGCAGCTCGAGATGTCTTTGCCAAAGCACGCAGAGTGCTGGTAACGGAAGTGGGAAGCAAGGAATCCGTCAAATCAGAAGGGACTGAAGGGGCCGATGTGAAGCAAGAAGACGATGCTGGTGAAAAGCGATGGATGGTTACCAATCGATTGGACCCATCGATCGGGAAACGAAATCCAGTGAAGGAGCCCTCCAAGATGGAAGAAGATTCACAAAAACTAAAACCTGGTCCAATTACGTGGCACTTGTACGCATCCCATGCTACAATTGAACATCGTCTGAACAAATCACCTGATATTGCGGCGAGAGTGTACGAATTGGGACTGAGAAAGCACGCTTCCTTCTTGATCCAACCAGCTTATGTATTGGGATATGCCAACTTGCTGTTAGAGTTACAAGATACTGTCAACCTAAGAGCATTATTGACTAGGGCGTTGACGGCTTGCAAAGAACTCGACACCTCCGCCGTGACGGCGCTCTGGGACATGACACTGAAATTTGAAAGCTTGATGAGTATAGCGGATCCAGGAAATGTAAAAGAAAGTATTGCCATTGAACGGAAACGACGAGCGGCCCTCATGGGACCGGAGATCGAAGATGTTTGTAATGGTGCCCGTGTAGGTGTCGGTGAGGCAGCCACTATTGGCGCCCAAAAATCGACCGTCGCCGAGCAATTGGTTCGAACTGATGGATACGAAATGAGTTCCATGATTGTCAATGGGTTGAGCAGATCAGTGGAGGTCTTGAATGTAATGGGTCTCTGGGGAAGCGGTGCACCCAACTCTTCTAATCGAGTGGTCAATACTCGAACCATGGATGACGACGAAGTCATTCCTGGAGGCAAGAGCGATGCATTGTACCAAAAGCGTCTGACATTTGCTTCAATCACATCATCTGGTGGCAGTGTCGAGACTGTCGGAGAGAATTCCAAGATTCTATCGGCAAGAGAGCGTCTTCAAGCATCGGCGACCCCGCAAGGTTCTGCCATTAGCATCGCAATTCAACAAAGTCCCGACTGGCTTCGCGAGTTGCTATTGGTGTTACCGGCTTCCAAATCCCAACTCCGCGTTTTTCATAAGCCTTCTCCCTTTGCTATTGAGTCTGCTTTGAATGCTCTACGACAAAACAAGTTACCAGCTGAGCGACCTCAAGACGGCAAGAAGAACGGCCAGCTCTCGGGCAACAAACACCGCCTTCAATCCGGCGGCGGTGAATCTTCCGATGAAGAGGACTCGGGGGTGAGCAATGGTGGTTACGGATTTCGCGACCGCCAACAGGCCCGACAAATGAAGGCCGCCCAAAGCATCAAGAGTGAATAAAAAAACAAAATAACAGCAGTTATTCTAATTCTAATAAAAGACAATAAACTTTTTTATAATTCAAAATAATCATGGAGCGAATGATTGCGAAGAATTTGCAACCGCTAGCCTAGACGAGTTGTAGATTGGGACTAGACTTCTGGCAAGGTTCCTACCTAGTATTCAATTCCATTCCATTCAATTCCATTCCATCCCATTTCACTCCACTCCACTCACTCCATTCATTCATTCAACTTTTATTTTATATCAACCCACCTTGTGATAATAATTTCAATTTACTTTCGGGCAGTTTCGTAGTTGGCCAAAAACCAATCCACCGACTGTTGGATGCCATCTTTCATACTGGTGAATTTGTAGTCCGGCTTGAGCGATCGTAGCTTGTGGTTGGCAGCAGTCTTTTTGAATTGTCCATCAGCCTTGGAAGTATCAAACTTGACTTCTCCCTTGAATTCCATAGCGTCGACGACAGCGAGTGCGACATCCTTGATGCTGACTTCTTCTGCCTCGTCCACCGAAAGGGTGATAGGAGCGGGGTCGTGGTATTCTCGCATGACCCAGACGGTCAATTCGGCCAAATCTCTGGAGTAGACAAACTGCCGGAGAGGCGTTCCAGACCCCCAAATGGTAAACGGTTCGTTGTTCTTCTTGGCCAAATAGCACTTGTGGATCAATCCTGGAATGACGTGACCATTTTGGATGCTAAAGTTATCATCGGGACCGTAAATGTTGGTGGGAATGATGGAAGTAAAGTTACAACCATACTCTTCGGCGTAGGCTCGGTTCATGGTATCAATCAAGCGTTTGGCATAAGCATATCCCTCATTGGAAGGGTGTGGAGGTCCATCATGAAGCATCGTCTCTGTAATGGGGTACGTAGTCTTGTCGGGGAAGATACATGTGGACAGGAAACTAACGAGTTTCTCCACCTTGTAGATACGGCTGCATTCCATGATATTGTCGTTGATGAGAATGTTTTCGCGGAAGAATTCCACCTTTTGTGCCATGTTGGCAAAAAGACCTCCGACTTTGGCAGCCAAGTGAATGACGTGGGTTGGCTTGTACTTTTCAAAGATGGCTTCAGTATCCTCGCGACTTCTCAAATCACCATCCTTGGAGGATAGGTAGACCCAGGTTTCCACAGACGTAGCACCAGTCTCTTCAATGTATTTGCGAATGGCCGTTCCGACCAATCCAGATCCCCCAGTAACCATGACCACATTTTGTTTCTTTTCCTCGCTCATTTTATTATTATTGCTATGATGGTTTCAGTGAATGAATTAGTAGACAATATATATGTATATTGTGAAAATGAGTGTTTTTGGATTCCGTGGAAGCAAACTACAGTACAGTATTGTAAAACAAATACAAAGATTGTTGCCCAATCTTATGAGCGATTTCACAATGTCCGACGATGACCTACAGTATGGAAGAGTTTTGTTGAATACGTACTATGTACGGACACTATGACTCAAAGCTGTAGCGTGTATGCAGGCACAAGGTTGTCGTGCTTCAAGTACTGAAATAGTTGTAAATGTCCGAAAGATGTGTGATAAA